GAGGAACTGATCCATAGCTGCTGCTGCTGCTGCTACCGAAGTTCTGTCACAAGTTTCAAGGCTACTGGTGATCCTGCTGTGACTCTATGTCTTTAATCCAAACATAGTCCTCTTTAAATAATTTGGATCTTCGAAGATCTCGAAACCTAAGAAAGTCCTTCAACCGCCCCAGTTTAAAGACCGTGACCACTGCACCCACCCTAAGAAAAACCACTCAGAAATGAACCGTTGGGAACTCACCGTAATTAAAAAAACTTTTTGCCCTCAAATGACCAGTGAGTGACCTCTCCGTAAAAACGAACCATTGGTCAAGTGGCATTTAAAAGAAAGAAAATAGAGAGTACGGTCGCATACATCTCAAAAATAACAACAGCACTCATTAGTATTCCAGAGGAAAAACTGCCAGGATTTAAAAAAAACCACTTGGACTCAGCTACCAGGCTCAGGTAGTGTTGAGACTCCGGCTAACTGTACAATCTATGAAAATCGGGTTCTGTCTGGAAGGGTAATTCTTGCGCACAATAAGAAAATTAGTTTCAAAAAAAACCAAAAACTACCCAACTCTTTAACCTCAAAAATGTACTGCCTGCCTATCCCTCCCTCAAAATTATTCCTGACTGCTCGGCCTGACCCTAGGAGAATTTAATATGGCACTTTTTCGAAAATAATAAGTGTCCTTCTGAACCAAAAGCCCAAAGCAGATCATATACAGGCAAAATCATAACAATTCCCCTTTTCCTCTCAATCCCATTCATAACCAGTACGTCGACCAATTGCTATTCGATCGCTGCGAACATGCGCGTCCACAACTGGTAGCTTCGATAGCAGCAATCATAAGCACTGGAGAAATGCAAACAACAGAATCAAAAAGCGCCTTTCAAAAAAAAAAGTATACTGCTAAAAATACAGTACTACTGGCTGCTCGAACAGTTCAAATGTTCCAGCAAGAAAAATTCACAAATTTCTTTCTCTTTCATAATTTCGAATACAATGAAGGCAAGGCAGTTCAATGAGGAAAAGCA